AATGATGTGATTATAAATTTTATTTACATATGAAACAAATGGTTAGTAGATATAAATGTGGGGTTGTTTTAACAAAATATAAACTCATGGATCAATTATTGTATTAAAATATCTCAAATCATGATATGGAATCACATGGTGATTCCATATCATGGTTTTTGGAGAATATGGTATCACCTCTCATGAGATGGAATCAGTGTAAAATCGCATGTCCAAACGCTGATTTCATCTCACGACACCATATCGTGATATGGTATCGCATGGCCAAACGCCTACTTAGTAAAAAGTTAGCACAAAGGGAATTTGCAGAAATAGTGATGTTAGAGCATTTGAAGTGTCGAAGAGGAAATAGAGACAAAGCAGGGAAGAGTAGGGATCTTGAAGTGTTGAGTATGAATTTTCATTTGAAGTGAGAATTGTAAGCTAGAACTCTATTTGATGATGGCTAGTCATAGTTTGAAACTTTTAGTGCACAATTGAACATAGCATGTATAGATTGAACCTTGTGTGCATTGATGTTGAGTCTCAAGTAGCACTATTTGTAGACATCCATGTTGGCCTGATTGATCTTGTGTTTTACTTGTGATCTCTTATTAAGGACGATGGATACATTTACCCCCACCAAAAACTTTAATATATAATACAATCTGAGAAAATATTTTGATGATAGTAATACACTTTCACCGAATATAAAGAACAGCGCAAGGTATTAAAAAAATACTTCCTCCATCTTAATTTATTGTGGCAATGTGTGATACCGAGATTGAACACAAGAAGAATTTTTTTTTAATACTTATGGTCTAAAAAATGAGTCATAGAACTTTGTGCGACTAATCTAATAAGAAATTCAATGGAGTATTAAATTAGAATAAGTCATAATAAGAAATTCAATGGAAGTATTAAATTTTTTTAAAATAGCACGTGACATTGGAGAGTAATGAAAAAGGAAGTTTGAAAAAAAAACGCAGAAACGCCCACCGTGGGGCTCGAACCCACGACCACAAGGTTAAGAGCCTTGCGCTCTACCAACTGAGCTAGACGGGCTAATTGTTAAAAAATATACTTAAGCATATTAATTAAATAGTCCATGTTACAGTCAAGTTATTACAGGTTAGGTGGGCTATTTTTGCAGTTTTCTTGTTAATTATGTAAAATTAAACTAATTGGAAGCTAAAAGTAAATATGATCTTTAGGCCAGATTTGGTCTTTAACTCCTCAATTTTCAACCTTTAAGAGAGTTTTTTCTTTTTTCATAAAAAATAAAACAAGAATGGTTTTATTAGTCTCAATTTTAAACTATATATTTTTATAAGAGAGAAGTATTGAAAACACCCCTGAATTTGGAGTAAATTATTAGTTTCATCCCCAACCAATTGACAGCCTTAAAAACACCTATTTATTTGACTAACTAAACTTAGATACACTCCCGATATACAACATGGCATAACAAGTGGTCTCAAACCCTTGTGGGAGTATGTAACTCTTCTTCATAAAAAGCCGATAAAAGTGTTGAAAACACTCTTAAATTTAACGAGAATTTAGATGTGGATTTCACTCATGTTGCCAAATCGGAGGTGTATTTAAGTCAAGTTAATCAAGTAAAATTGTGTTTTTAAGGTTGTCAATAGTTCGAGGATGAAACTAATAATTAGTGCCAAATTTAGGATTGTTTTCAATATTTTTCTCTTCTTATAATGAATAACAAAGTACTGTGCAACGCTTTTGCTATTTCCTTTTCCCTTTTTTTTATTTGTGTTTTTTAAAAGAGCTTTGGACCACTTCTCTATGCTATAATCCTCCTTTATCGTTCCAATTCTATCGGATAAAATAACTTGTTGGTAATTGGTGCAATGTTAAATACACTTATTTTGATAAACACATTTAAGAAAATATAATAGCATAGCTCAATTAATTTAGTAGCATATAGAAGATTATTATAGAACTACAAAGTGTTACTACAATTTAAGGTTTACATTATTTTAGAAAAAAAGATACAAACTATGCAAGCACTCCATATATATATATAGTGCTTGATAGAGAAACACAACACGTACATTCACATTACTTAATTAATCCAACGTTTTACTAAATCAACTTGTCTCGAAATACAAAGAGAACAGGATTACATATTTAATACAAGAACAACAAAAAGGTTTCAAAAAAGTGATTGCATTTATTCAGATTTGAAAAGAGGTGCTGATCCATTAACCTTCTCCTCCATTCTCAGTTTCTCTCTTCTCTGTCATTATTCACAAGACACAAGTTACATAATTTAGCACGTCTATAAAAGTCATTCTTTATAATAACATTACGTTATAGCAACCAAAAAGTATCTGAACAAATGATGTTGTTTGTTATAAAGATATTTTATTGTATTTCTTTCTATCGTAAGAAAAAAAAATGTTGATTTCTTATATGGTCGTTCAACTAATAGTTATTATTTCAGAAAGTCGCATTTCTTCTTGATATTAATTTTTTATTTAACAAAGAATATGACTTTCTGAGATAATAAAATATTAGTTGAGTGACCATCTTAGAAATTAACTCAAAAGCCAATGAACATTAGGTTAGATAATTACATTTTTCACGAATTCTTTTTTGTTTCTGAAAAAAAAGAATGTTTTATGAATTATATTAAGGTTTTCTTTTTCTTCAATTTTGTCGTAGTATGTAAAAAAGAAATGTTATGTTGATACCTTTTCGAAGACTTCCTTCTGGTATCGGAATCCCTGCAACAAACAAACAAAAATATTAAGAGTTTATGAGTTATAAACTTGTCACTTGACCCATAATATTTTTGGATTCACGATTAAATATTTATACGTAACATTGAACTGACCTTGTCAGTTCCATAGATGTAGTCACAGTAAGTGAAAACAGAAGCAAAGTTACTGTGACAACTTTCCCCAACAAAGTGATGATAATCATGGTATATAGCTCCACCATAAAATGGTATATACTTTGATGGGCTCCATGGAAATTCATACCTACATAATTAAAAATGAATCGCGATGTCACTAAAATTCAAACTCATGACACTACGATAGTAGAATAAAATTAGGTTATACGCACCCGCTATGAGTCTCAATTGCTTCAATTTGTCTCAAGACAAACCAAAGCAAAAATGTAAACATGTGACAAGGAACCAAAAGTGGGCCAAGAAAAGAAGCTAAGCCCAATATAATAATTTCAGCCCAGTGGGCATAAGGTGCTGCAAAACTAATTGGGGCCACATATTCATGATGGACACTGTGGATTTTATCATAACCCCATTTGTAGTGATGGAGCATTCTGTGAAGCCAATAATTTGCATAATCTTCAACTACAAAATACACAACTAATTGCCAAAATACTTCTGACGCTGATGGCAGGGGCAAACTTGTCCTTATTCCAACCCACTGCACCAAAGTACAAAAATTAATAAAATATAGTATGCCTTTTACTTATTTAATTTATTTTGCATGGTGTCAAAGAGAAAATAATATAAAATATTGGGTTGCGTTTAAGGTTCATTGAATTATTATAGACTTCAGTGAGAAAGACTCTACTTCAATTTAAGACATGCATGGGATACCTTTGGTGTCCTTATGTTCAACGACATAATAATAATAATAATAATGAAAAATAGAGGTGTAAGAAGTAGTGTTCAGTATTTTAAAAGATGGGGGGCGAGGTTTTTACCCATCATGGATCGAGACATAACCTTGAAACATAGGATGTAAGTTTTATGAATTTACTAGATGTATATTTCATGTATTTTTATTATTATAATTTTATCACTAAGAAAATAAGTAAAAGTATTTTTTTACTAATTCTGCAAATAATAATATTATAATTATTATTTTAGAAAAATGATAATAATCATCGGTTTCCATATCATTACGTCAATAATAAAAAAACATAATTTATAAAAATTAACGTCCAGGTTGTACGCTTCCAAGTCAAAGGCTTTCGCGCCAAATTTTAGGACATACGCC